TACTTAACTGGTATCGGCACGAATTACATATTTTTTGTTGAAGATATAAATGATTATTTATATTAAGCATCCATGGAAGAACTGATCTTAAATTTTTTTTAAAATTTTTATGATTCACTTTATTGTGGATTGCAACATTTTATCTTATCTTTTAAGGGTTTCATTTAAAAAAATTTATTTATTTTTAAACGACAAGTAAAAATATTTATATGTAAAAGATATGAATCGGTGTTTGTGAAAAAATATTAAAGAAATCAATTTGTATTTTTAGCAACTGTGATTTATCGATTAAATTCGCTAATTAATTTTGCTAATCAGTTTATTTTTAATAATTTTAAGAAAAGATAAAAACAGCTGACTTACTTTTATTAATTTTTTCAGTGTTAAGCATATGCTCAAAATTCAAAGACTTTGATCAAAAATTTTATAGAGAATGCTCAAATTCATTTGATACCCAAAATTTTATAACTAGTTAATTTTTTGTTAATTATATCGCTTAAAATTTTTTTAAAAATCTTTGAAATTTTCTGGTTAATGACAATTTTATAACATTCTTGGTCTTGATGGGTATGACTTAGTCTTGAGGGGGGGATGGGGGGTAGGCCGGGTAATTATATGATTTTCGATTTTTCCCTTAATAATTTTCCTGCACTCCTTTAATACTGCTTTTTTGTTCGCATGTTAGTCGGATTTTTTAATTATTTTTAATTTACATTGAAATATTAAAAAAATTATTAAAATTTTTTATCCTGCGAATATCTCAGGGGAATAAGGTTTACAAAGTTATATAATCGAATTTTATGATATATTCTACATTAAAATATTTTTAATCAATAAAAAAATAAATTTTAACATATTAAAACTATTATATATAGCGCCATCTATTTTTTTTAAAGTATAAAAATCGCATAATTTTTTAAAATAAATATCCAGCCATGCTAATTGTTGAAGAAATTATTAAAAAAATAGTAAACGGATAATATTTCTTAAAAAAATTAAAAATCGGAGATCATATACATTTCGAAATATTAATTTCAAGTTTTCAACTGACCATAAGATGACCCATATTTTATAAAAGATTAATTTTGATGTTTTCGCCATAATCATAAATTATTAACTTAGCTATTGATATTAGATTCAATATTTGATCATATTTAGTTTTAAATTAAAAACTAATTATTTGACATCAGTAAAAAGCAAAAAAAGACGTTTTTTGGACCTTTAACCCCGATTATCTCGGCTAATATAGTTGCTAATGCGCTAAAATTTTGTTTATAATCTAATGGGAACATATATAACCAGTCTACAACTTTTTATCGAAATTGAAAGGGGTCGGCCGAAAATCTTGATTTTTTTGCTCATTTGACATGGAATAACCCGTATATTACCCGTTAATTATACGAATAAAATTATATATCATGAATTTATAATTGTAAACAATGGTATTAATTTGATAGGTAGAAATTTAATAAACCAATTAAAGTTAATAAAAATAAATAAATGTAATACAGTTAATGAGGGTTGGGAGGATAAAATTGAACATAAATTTTCATCATTATTTACTAAGAAGTTAGGTTTACTGAAAGAGTTTAAAGCAAAGCTATCGGTAAAACCCAACTCCAACTTTTAATGTCTTAAAAGTAGACCGATTCCATTTGCGTGGAAGGAAAAACTAGAAACGGAATTGCAACGACTGGAATCCATGGGAGTTATAGAAAAGCTAAAATACTCGAATATCGCTTCTCCTATTGTGCCGATACTGAGAAAAGATGGATCCTTACGAATTTGTGGTGATTTCCTACAAACGGTTAATGCTAATATTTTGATTGATAAGTATCCTTTACCCAGAATTAATGAATTATTAGCCACATTAGGTAATGGATCCAAATATACAGTATTAGATTTATCAGAAGCATATTTTCAAATAGAGCTAGATGACGAAGCAAAAAAACTGTTAGTAATCAACACACCGAGTGGATTGTATCGCTTCATACGACTTCCGTTCGGGGTAGCCTCAGCGCCAGCCAATTTCCAACAAGCAATGGATTCTTTATTAAAAGGACTACCCGGGGTAGCGGTATTGGACGATATAATAATTACTGGGGAATCAATTGAGAATCATAAAAAAAATTTGATAAATGTGCTAAAGACGTTAGAAACAAATGGTATGAAATTAAATCTAAAAAAATGTAATTTTTTTAAAGAAAAGATTGAATTCTAAGATCATACCATTAGCGAAGAGGGAATCGCAACAACAAATAAAAACGTCAATGCAATTTTAGACGCACCGTTACCGAAAAACGTTAAAGAATTACAAGCTTTTATCGGTATAATTAACTATTATCAAAAATTTATAAAGAACTGTTCAACGATGGCCACGCCCAAATATCGACTGTTACGAAAAAACGTGCCATGGAAATGGACGAATAATGAAACAATAGTAATTAATAATTTTGCACCATTAACTCATTATAATCCGGGAAAACCGATAATTCTAGCTGAAGATGCGTCGCAACAAGGAATAGGATATATCTCATATAATTAACAACGAGGAAAAACCAATTGGATTCGCGTCTAGAACATTAAATGCAGCCGAACGAAATTATAGTCAGATAGAGCGTGAAGCTTTAGCAATTATATTTGGACTAATTAAATTTAAACAATATTTAATTGGCAAACATTTTATTATAATTACAGATCATAAACCACTGATATCTTTACTCAATCCACATAAAAGAATAACAGATATGTCCTCAAGATTAGTACGGTGGTCATTATTACTAGCCAATTATGATTATGAATTGCAACTGAAAGAGACAAAAAAAAATAGTAATGCGGATATGCTATCCCGGTTTCCAATTGACGGTGAACCATCTACTTGGGAAGAGTTAGATATTAATTTAATAGTATCGGATGCTCCACAATTTATTTCAGCGTTAGATATAAAAGCACACACAAGAAATGACCCGACATTATCAAAGGTGTCACGTTACATTGCAACTGGGTGGCCGAAGATAATAGAGGAAAATCTAAAACCGTTTTTCCAGCGCCGAAATGAACTCACGGTGGAAGCAGGAATATTATGGGGTTTAAGAACCATAATATAAATTACAAGGTCTTTTTTACATATGGGGCATCAGGGGTATACTAAAACAAAATTATTGGCACAAGAGAATGTTTGGTGGCCAAATATTGACGAAGATATCGAATTACACGGTAGGAATTGTGAATTATGTCAGACAAATAATCCTGGAAATAAAACAATTATAGGGAAATGGCCCTCCGCAAGAATGGGGAAGAATTCATTTAGATTTTGCCGGACCCATTAACGGATATATATATCTAGTAATAATAGATAGTTTTAGTAATCGACTAATAATTTTACTGAAGTAAGAAAATTATTGTTAAGACTTTTTGCTATTTTTGGTTACCCCAATACGATTGTTACGGATAATGGGCCCCTCTTTCAAAGTAGAGAATTCAGTTTATTTTGCAAACAATTATCAATTAGAAATGTATATAGTGCGCCGTACTACCCTAGAACCAACGGAGAAGCAGAATGGCTATTACAAACTTATAAAAAATTTAAAAAAAACATAATGATTATGATAAAATACAAGATTTTTTATTTAATTATCGAAATACGCCACAAAAAACCACTAAACAATCACCAAGTTCAATGATGCTTAAATTTCAACCCATAGGACCTTTACAATTAATAAAACCAATTTATCCACATCCATACATGTGATTCGATACAAAACTCTATAGAAAAAGACATTGAGCCGATACAAGACTTGATGACAAAAGTTATTGATCCGATACAAGACTCAATAACCAAAGATGCCATCATAAATGATAAGACTGACATCGACACGACTGATCAAACCGTGTTAGAGAACGAAAGTACAAGTAGCCGTTATCCAATACGAATAAGAAAACAATTTATACTATTCCAAATCGAGAGCCAAAAAAAAGAGGATAGATGTAATAGAATACCTTCAAGGCATAATAAAAAGATAAAATGATATATTGTATTCAATTAAATTATGTATTAAAAATAAATAAATGTATTTTATATAAAAGGAGAGAAATAAGAGATAATAACATGATTGAAATAAAATATTAGATTCGTGATTTGAGATCATTTGATACAATTCATGAGGGAAGGCTTTGTTGCCAATATTTTTCCAAAATTGGCTCAATATATGGAATATTGATATTAAAAGGCATCATTCTAAATCTCACGACAATTTCTAAAAATTTAATAGATAATGGTATACGCAATAAATTATTTCCGAAATTAAACGTTTTATATAAGTGCTAAAAATCAAATTTTAAAATTTTCGCAACATAAGACAAGTAATAATAATATAACTCGATACAATATTCCAATAATCATGAATCGACAACATTCATGCAAAATACAATAATCTTCATGAATCGACTAAATTAATGAATTATTCCATTTTAATTCCATAAATTTTCGAATGCCAAGAAAAATATATAAAAATAATAATAATCATGATTGACATTTTCTTGAAAATAAATTAACATTTTTTTATTTTTCTCTTTAATTAAACATCTGCAACAAAACTTATATATGAAAATATGGTTAATTTTTTTATAATTTTTAAAATCGATTGTATTTTTATTTTATCTTTTTTATAATATTTTTTACAAATTAATTAAAATGCAACTTAATATATATCTTGATTAGATTATAGCCGTCAAAAACTTTCATTTAAGGTGGCGATGAATAAATACACATAAATATTTTTTAGGTTCTTATAATATTCAAACTCAAATTGTAAAATTTCGGGCTCGGGTCGGACTAAAAAATGCGTGCTCGGGTCGGGCTCGGACAAAAAAATTTTAAATTCGGGCTCGGGGCTGCGAAGAAATTACTTTGCAGACCTCTATCCCCGCCAAATTTTATATTTAACGAATGCTATTCTATGAATCTCAAAATGTAACGATATATTTGGGTTTTTAAAAAGGAGCATTATTTGTTGATCAAGGAGTAGAAGATTGCAAAGTAATCTTCAAGATTTGTTTTATAAGCAAATTGGATGATTTTATTGAAAATCAAGGGTGGAATGATCCTAAATCCTTATTACAACAATGTTGTTTGACTTTAAGGAAGATGGATGGAAAAGAACCCGACGTGCCTATCTATAAGTAACATTAATATAAGATGCTTCTCATTTAAAAAATATATATTTAAAATTCAATATTCTTATGTCTAGAAAATTATAAATACAATAAAGCTTTTTTATTATTTTAAAGGGTTATTGATTGCATAGGACCGTCTAATACGAGGCGATATAAAGTGGGCGTGTATTTTAGAAACAATAGATTATCCGTTGGTTGGGGCAGGAGCAAACAACAAGCCGAGATGGAAGCGGCCGAAGCTGCTATATCTAAATATAAAAGTTTATATTATTTGTTTGAAATTGATTTAATTTTTTTTATTAATTTATTTGATATTTATTTATAAATAACCATAAAAGAATAAAATTTAAAGAATACCATTTATAAATTAAATTAGTCAAGCAAATACTAAATAGTTAATAAAATTCTTTAACTTAGAATATTTTATCCATACTGTTTTTAAACAATATTTTGATTGAACTTTGTCATATTTATTAGGTGTATTTCCAAGATTTACTCATCACAAGATGAAACGTCAAACATTATGATTACAATTACTCTATTATATTATCGTGATATGGAGTGTCATCCCTAAAATATTTGTCGCCCTAGGTAAAAATTTAGATTTGTTGAAAAACACAAAGAATGTACCTTTATACTTGGAACATATGTTATGCCATTCTAATCTTCTTTGGTATAATGATTAAATCTTTTTTAAATTATCCATCTGCTCTTTTGTCGAATGCCTAACTAATTTAAATAAGTTTTAATATATTTCCCTTTATTTTTTTTAAATCTCATATAATCAAAATATTATAATAAAATGTATAGTATTTACTTTATAATTACATTTTAAAACATTCATCTTAATTAGATTTACAGAAAATGTACGCATTTATTTATATATTTTGTTTATAAAAAAATGTTTTATTTTATTTTTTGCAAAAATTGACATTTTCAAAAAATAAAACATTAAACTTGCTTAATTTGGATATTAAATTTGATGGTTTTATAATTTTTTAAGCAAAAGCATTTTTTTAAAACTTTATATCTATTCAAGCCACAGTGGCCTTAGGCACTGAAGGGGGGGGGACGCTTCCCATGGTTAATATGATTGGAAATGTGTTTTCATAATACTTTTTATTCTATATATTATAAAAAGACAAACTTGTTGTATACTAAATAATATTTGAATAAAGGTTACAATAAGATATCAAATAAAAGGTAAGGATAGTTATAAAATAAGTATCTTACAAATATTAGAATACCCTTTATACATATGAATACTAATCAGTCAGATAATAAATTTTCTGACCTATTTTACCCCGTAAATTATTTTGGCGCGAAAATTTTAATTGTGTCTTATAAGTAACATTCTTTTTATATAATAATAATTTTTTTAAATAGAAATTCTTATATTTATTTAAAGTGCGAGTATTTAATGTCAGCTGTTCCCTATATTTCAAAATTGACATTTTTCGTAATTTTTAATTACATTTTTTTAATATTAAAATAAAGATAATTTAATGAGTGATTGATATAAAATTTAAAATTACTATTTAATCACCAAACTTATAATATTTTAATTTATTAATATTCCTATTATATAACATTCTCCCTCTTCTAAAAAGCTTTCCCATAATTTCATGTAAGCTCTCATCGATAGCTTGACGTCCTAATGGTTTATCGTCTTGGCGTTTCTATATTGCATTAGATTTATTCGTTGGCGTGTCCAAATCGTTTTTGTTATTCTTATCATGAGTTGTTTTTATCAATCGTAATTTTGTCATATAAGCTTACCTGTGCTCGTTTGTTATTATTATCAATTTTTCAAAATTGATATCATCACAAGTCAGTCGTAAATAATTCAAAATAATAATTGATCAAATTGGATATTAGAATAAGTAAATATCGGAATAATATATATGAATTTGGAATAATATGTAGAATATGAATCAAATTGAATAAATGGAATAATCGAATATTGGAATGATAAATCAACAAGATTATTATATAATATTTATAGCGTTTAATTTATTTATCGCGTTTTAATGTTAAATCATTTTTTATTTATGTTTATATTTATAATATTTTCAATCTATAGGTTAAAATATGCAAATAAAATATTATTATCCACATTTCCCTCTCTTTTAAAAAAAATTGAATTTTACACCCTTGTTTTTCAATTTAAAAAGTGTTTTAATATAATAATTCTTCATTAGATTGCTTTTAGTAAAAAAATAACTTCTTAAGCCTCAAATTTTTAGAAAATGATCTCCATATCGCATCTTTAAGTATTTTAGTTTTTACATAACTTCTTTTTATGATACTTATAATTGTCTTAAAAGTTTTAAGTTTAAAATTTTTTTTTATCATATTAATTAGTTTTTTAATTTTATTATGTTCTTTAACATTTATATCATTAATTTCTTTAATCACAAGTATTTCTTTAAATTTCATCATATGATTTATATCTTTTAATTTATATATTTCAATTACATTTTAAAATAAAAATTAACTTAAAATTATAGTTTTATTTTCTTTTTTAACATTTGCATCCTTAATTTCTTCACTAATAAGTTCTACTAAGGTTATAAATTTTTAGTAGTCATATTATCTATCTATTATTTTCACACGATAAATGTCCATTCTTTTTTTAACATTAATTTGATTTAAAAAATTTTATTTTGTCTCCATATCTGATAATCTTCTGAATCACTATCGGGAATGAACTAAACCCATTTTTTCTAGATCAATTGGTTCTTCATCTTTTATTTCTATAATTTTGTTTTTAATATGATTTTAATTATCATAATTTTTATTACGAATGTGTTCATCATTATAATTTTATTACGAATATTTTCTATCTTAATTTTTATTACGAATGTGTTCATCATTATAATTATTTCTAATATAGTTATGATTTCTATTATTTAATAACCTATATCATAATTTTGTCTAAAGTTGTTTCTAAAATTGTCACTAGGTCTATAATAATTATTATCATTTCTCTTCCTACTACAATTATTATAATAATTCTTCGGATTAAGATTTTTATACTATTGTAACTTTTTTAGACTGAATTTTTTCAATATGATTTTTATAATGATTATGTGGTTGAACTAAAAATGGTTTATCTTTATAATACGCTTTTATTATACCTAAGAATTCACCTTTACTTAATTCACTTAATTCCCACAATTGGTCATAACTCAAAATATCAAAAATACTGTAAATATCATCAGGTAAATTAGTAAGAAAATCAACTGTTATTCATTTTTAAGTAAATATTTTTTAAGGCTTTCTATGTATTCAGATATATCTAATATGATTGATTTACTTTTAAGTTATTTTATTAAGTTTATACTCTAAGTTATTACATAAGCCAGGAAGGGGGGGGGGGGTGACAAGGGGAATCCTTCCCCCCTCTTTCAGAAATTTATTACTTTTTGTGAATATTATTTGAGATAATAAAAAATATTTCCCTTAGTCCTCCTCCAACTCCCACCCCCAAAAATGTATGCATATATCTTAAACAATAATTTGAAAGAAAGAATGTCAAAGTTGATATTTTTTTAAACTAAAACCATTCATCATAATTTATACATTTTTGGAAAAAAGCATTTATATATAAAAAAAGTGAACCAAAAGTGTTTTTAAAGAAATGGAACATAAGCCAAAGATAAGTCTTAAGACAAAAATGAAATATATTATAATTATAATAATAGATCCATAAAATTACTAAATAATATAATATCAAATATAATTTTTTATAAAGTGAGTAATTTTAATTTATTTATCCTAATAAAAGTAAAATATAATTACAAAACTATTAATAAAATTTAATAAAAAATTAAAGCACAATACAAACAGTGGAATATTATATGTCGTAGATTTACGGTATATCTAATTTTATCAATTATCATATGACAATTTACCAATATAACGAATTATATATTTTACAGAAAACTATAAAATATTGATAAGGACATCAGAAAATATCTTTTAAAAACATTGTGGGATAAATAATATAACGATTAATTTTTATTATCATTTTTTATTTAAAATAAATAGATGGCGTTAAATAATTGATTGCAAATTGTTGCTATATTTATTATCAAGAGCATTGATTAGTAAAATTTTGTTAAAATATTAACTGTAATATATTATTTAACTGTCAAATATGTCTGTAAAAATTATTACCATGCTTTTATATTAATGTATATGCATGTGATTTATTATATTTTATATAAACTAATAAAAATATATTTCATATTTCTTCCAGGCTTATTTTTTTTAATAAAATTAACCTCCTATCTTGTAATATTATTTTATGACTATATATAGACTAAGGTAACCCGGCCGAAGGCCCACACAAAATGTGGTCTGGGGGCGAAGCCCCAATAATTTTTTAATTCCCCCCCCCTTAGGAAAATTCTGGCTACGTCTATGAGTTATTAATTTATTTTGGAATGGTATTTTAATTTATAATAACTTTTCTTCTTATGTGCATTTAGAATTGTTTATAAATCATCATTGGTTTCACTATATGTTGATTGATTGACTTTTATTTAACTTAAATTGTTATTATAGCCTTTAACTATGTATTTCGTTTAAATTGTTTTGTATATAATACACCTAATATTTTTATAAAAAAATCTGGCCGGGTCGGGTCGGACAATTTTTTTAAATATATCTAAATTTATCAATTTTATATTGAATTTTTTATGTAAAATAAAAAATTTTGATTTTATTGAAACTAAACGCCATATAACATATTTAAATAAATTCGGGCCGGGTCGGTTAATTTTTTTAAAAAATTTACGGATTCGGGCCGACCCGGCAAAACTTTTTTTTAAAAAATTTAGGGTTCGGGTCGGGCCGGCAAAACCATTTTAAAAAAAATTTCGGGCCGGGCTGGGCTTGAAAAATTAGGCCCGATGCAGATCACTAATATATATACCTTATTTTATATTTATTTTTAGTATCATTTTAGTTTTAGAATAAAATTATTATAGATTAAAATCTCCACCGTTATCTTTCACCACTGTTATGACCTATATAGTGTTGTTAAACGGCTCGATTTGAGCAGATTTTTAAAAACGGCTAACTCATTATATTATCCAGAAAAATATTACTCAACCCTGAATATTTACTTAATAGATGGATCAAGGGTCTAGACATCTCTAAGCGAAATCTGGAGCCTTTGACAATATTTCTTTGGCTAAAATATTGAGTTAGCCGTTTTTTAAAATCGGCAAAATGAGTCGTTTAACAACACTACCTATATAACATGGTGCCCCGCTTTGAATGATAACTCACAATGATATATTTTAAAAATCTCATATATATTGAGCATAATCCGATAAATATAAAAAATAAAAAAAAAATTTGGGAATTATGTAATAAATTATAAAAATTATTCGATATAAAGGACACAAGGTAAAAAAAAAATTTCTTTATGCTAATGTAAATAAGTTTTAAAATAAAAATTTGCAATTTGAATAAAAAAAAAAATTGAATACATAATATTGACAATATGTATCTTTGCTAATTTAAATAAGTTTTTTAAAATATCTGCATTATGGATGATAAAATTAGCATATCCTCCAACAGGGAAGTTAAGTTCCCAAAGTTGGAGGGACCCTTGACGGACATATACTTGGAAAGACTTGACGATTATTTCTCTCAAACAATTTTATCCCACTCAGTAAAAATTGAAGATGAGCAATTTATCTGATGACCTATACGATAAAATTAAGTCATTATGTACTAAGGAAGATATCAAAGATTATAAAATTATTATTTAAAAATTAAAATTTTTATTACCCATCAAGATGTTTGGATATTGACTGGGAAGTTTAGCCTTGCTTTACAAGGTGTTAATGAATCTTTTTTGGTTTGGTTTTTTAGACTGTCTAAATTAAGTAGACAATGTAATTTTATTAATGATGATCGCCTAAAAGAAAAATTGAGAACATCTAGTTTAAATGACAATATAAAAAATAAATTAAATAAAAATATTAACTATACATTAGACGTAATGATTGAAATAGGAAGAAAATTAGATAGTATTAACATTAAATCAGAAAGTGACAATGTTAATTATGTTTTTTTAGTAGGGATAAAAAGTTTAATAAAAATAATGTCAATAATAGAAATAATGATAAGAATTTAGATATCCAAAGTACTTCTAATAGGAATGAGATTAATAGTAACTATAATTGACCTAATTATTATTCGAGGCAAAATTTTGACAGTAGGAATAGAAATTATGGAGATAACAATTTTAGTAATGTTAACGACAACAGGAATAGGAATTTTAGTAACGTTAGAAACTATAGCAATTATAATAATAAGAACATAGAAATAATCAGTATAATGATAGTAACTATCAAAATTACAATTATCGGTATAACAATAGCAACAGAAATTCATAATAATAATCATCAATCTTATAACAACAACTATGGTAGGAACAACGCCTGGTTTAATCATAATCCGAGGAGGCAGATTCAATGTGACGATCAAAATCATAATATTTACCGATTTTATAAAAACAATTCAAATAATTATGAAGGAAACAACAGGTGGCATAATAATGATAACCAAAGAAAACAAATCGAATATGAGTATCGTAATCGGTGGAAGGATTTTAATCAAAGTAAACAAATCCAGTATGATAATCAAAACTTCTACGATAGCAATAATTGTAATATGAACATTGAAGAAGTTGGAGAAAATAAAGTTGGCACTGCCAAAGACAATAGTGAGAATCATTTCAATGTCAACAACCTGGCTGAAAATACAGACAAAGGTGATGACAGTGCTTTTATGACACTTTGAAATTAAATAATGTTATTACTACTATGCAGGTTGACACTGGAACAAATTATACCTCATGATATGGCTAAAAAAATTGGTATAAGAGAAATGAAGAAATCCAGTTTGCGGC